GCTGGCTGGGGAATTCTGGGAGTTGAAGTCCGCACGTCTTAAAGTTGCCAAGGTTGAGAAACATTGATCTGGTCTTTTAGATGGCTTCACCCAGTGTTGGACCAGCTGGCGTTCTTCTCTGCTCCTAAAACAGTTAATTCCCTATGTGAATTCCGAGCAGATTCTCTCACGCTTCCATGTGGACGCAACCCCCTCCCCCTCAAAGCCTGAGTTTCTGATTCCTAAACCTGGGATTGTCAATGCACCCTTAGGCCTTAATGCTGCCTTTAGTTATGCAATTTGCCCAGATTATGAATTCTCTGGTGAGAAATAAGGTTTGTATTTTTGCTATAGCTCTTCCCACATTCAGAGCACTTGTACGGTTTTTCCCCGGTGTGGCTTCTCTTGTGTGTGGTGAGGCTGGCGCTCTGGCTGAAGCTCTTTCCACACACCAAGCATTGATAGGGTTTCTCCCCCGTGTGGATCCTCATGTGCTTAATCAGAGTCGAATGGTTGCAGAAGCTCTTGCTGCAATCCGAACACTGGAACGGCTTCTCCCCGGTGTGGATCCTCTGATGCGAGGTCAGGTTGGAATTCCACGTGAAGCTTTTTCCGCACTCGAGACATTTGTACGGTTTCTCTCCAGTGTGGATCCTCTGATGCAGTGTCAGGTTGGTGTTCTTGCTGAAGTGTTTCCCGCATTCCAAGCACTTATAGGGCTTCTCCCCTGTGTGGATCCGCTGATGGGAAGTGAGATGGCCCCCTTGACTAAAACTCTTTCCGCAGACAAAGCATTTGTACGGCTTCTCTCCTCGGTGGATCCTTTTGTGCTTAATGAGGTCTGACTGGCTAGAGAATCTCTTCACGCAGTCTGGGCAGCCGTATGGTTTCTCCCCCGTGTGGATCCGCTGATGGGAAGTCAGGTTTGTACTCCGCGTAAAGCACTTTCCGCAAACATAGCATTTGTATGGTTTCTCTTCTTCTTGGAGGAACTGAAATTCAGGAAGAGTTCTACTCGTGCTAAAACTCTTCCCAAACATTAGGCTTTGATTTGAATTCTCCTCCGTGTGAAGTCTCCAGTGGGCGCTCAGGCACCTGTCCATCCTGTTTCCTCCTGGTTCTTCTTGGACGATGATGTCAGGAAAGTCACCACCGTTACAAGGAAAAGCCGGATGTCCCTTGGGGTGGTTTTCTTCCTCCATCTTCAGCCCGTCTTGGTTCCACAAGTTCTCCTTCAAATCGTCACGCTGGGTTGTTGTCGGGTGTATCTTGGAAAGTCCCTCTTCGCTGTTGCTTTCCCACATCTCATCGGCTGGAAT